TCTGGGATAAAAACTCTTCTATGTTCTTTCTCAAGGTCAACTCTATCTCTGTACCAAATTTCATTAAAATCAGTTCAGTTGTTTAGGCGTGACAGCGTAACAGACAGTTTGACAGAGTTACTTTCGCATTTATAATATTAGTAGGGATATGTAATATAATATACGTATTACCTAAGCGAATAAAACTATTCGTAATATTAATTTAACTATCTATTAATTATTATCAGTCGTAATTTATTCCTCACCATAACATTTTGCATGTGTAAAATTGGCTGCGGAAATTATTTATTTTAATAATATTCTTCATTAATAACAAAAAAGGTTGAACAAAAAAGGTAAGCATTAATAATTGTTGTAAACTTATAGGTACGTATCTATTTTTAGATACTTTATTATAAAGGTATATATGTATAAACGTGATTCTACAGGGTGACTGGTGAATTACTATCGATATTTGAGGACGTGATATTTGACGATCATATATGACAAAATAAAAATTAATATAACATAAATATTAATAAACTTCTAAGTAAAGTTAACCAAAAGTTATGTAATTAATTACGCATCGTGTGAACACCCTACAGATTAGGTATATACACACACACACACATACGCGCGCGGCGGCGTGTGTTGTATCAGCACGCCGCGGCACGCGTCCACACTTGGAACACTTGGAACGTGTACACACTTTATTTATTTATACGGAAATTTGGTCAAAAATTAAGTACCTATTTTTTTTACATAATTCGAATGAGAATCATGTACCGAGTATGCTCCTTAAATATTGATAGTAATTCACCAGTCACCCTGTATATTTTTCTTCACATGAAATGATCATTTTTTATATATTTCATGAGATCTCGTCTGCCCGTGATCACGGTTGCAGTAAAGTAACCGAAACTCAGTAGGTATGTAGTTATCAAAAAATAAAGTTACGTATATCCGCAAACTATTAGTAGAAAACTTTCAACAAAAATAAAGATCATTAGAACCATAGACTATATGTAATTAAATGTATTACTCCGTAGTAATTTCCGCTTTAATAAAACTAAAAGACGATAGAAAATCATTCAAAATTTTATAACTCACAAACTAACCCTTTTTTTAAATAAAAATCACTTAAATGTTTGATTACTACTTGTAGTAGAAAAATATTACTATTTAAGTTTTAAAATAAACAAACCACAAACATTTAATTGTTATTTTATTGCATTTTAAACGCTTCCTGGTTCAACGCTATCAATTAAAGTGTATGAAATTACTTAGTATAATAGAAGTCAATTCGACGCAGTCGGAATTATGTTCCTGTTAATTTCAAGGAATAAAATAATAACATTATTACGAGCTAGGGTTTGATTAGCAATTTCAACACAGTAATGTAACAGAGAAACACAAATATTAACTTTATTATGATCCCAGCTAATATTGCTGACTCAAAACCGACCTAGCGTTATTTTATACACAATAATCTGATTACTAGAACATTCCAAAACGTTATAGTTTATATTTCTACTTGTTTACACATTAACAATAGGAATGTTTTAGTAAAGGTATAGCTAATAGCTAAGATCGGCGTGAAGTAGTCTTTAAATGCCTGCGTTTCGTACGATCAGTGAGAGACCCGCTTGTCTTTTCCCTTTTCCAATTCTTTCCTTCCCTCTCCCTATTTCCACCCATTCCTCCTTCCTCAACAATTGAGGTAAGCAACATCTCTTATGTTGCAGATGTCCATGGGCGAAGGTGATTAATGCCCGTCATAGAATTAAAGTCGTTTCATTTTGATTAGCCATTGAGCATCCAGTGGCTTGTCTCTTCATCTGCTTGTGTCTTCATTCAAAGGGCGCAGAAAATAATTAGAATACTATACCGTCGTAATACAACTTGAATATCTTCAAAGCAAGAGTTTGTATATTTTTCTAACAATTAGATGGAATAATAGTACTACTATTTAAGATAATTAGTAAAAGGTATTTTCAATGCGAGTAATCTCATTGATTTAATTTCAATTCAACGACTTAAATTTCAGAAAAGTTTTGAGAACATTATACCTACTAGGGTTGTGTAATTCGATCTGACACAATCGGTATTCCTTTAGTATGACTTCAATGTTTTCCATGAAACAAAAACATTTAATTTAATTAAGATACATCGTTATATCACGATGGACATCAAAAATTTTGTATTGAAATCCACATTTTTTAAATTAATCAATTGGTTTAGCTTCAAATAAGAATTATTTTTTCACCATCTAATCGAGACAGAGGTAGAATCTATTACTTTTTATTAAAAAAATCCCAATCAATGTTTTTAAACTTTACAGTTTAGATGAAACATTGTCAAGATGCCACCACCGACATTAAATTTGTTAATAATGTTAGGTTTTTTAATTAAAATTAAAGCTAATAATTGAAATAAAATAAAACCTAGAACAAATTTATTGAAAAATTCATTGATACAAGCTAGTTCGAACCTGTAACCTTCGGAATATCGTGTTCTAATTACTTTGCCAATTACGCTATTGTGTCCTGACTCGAATCGGTGTAATAATGCTAAAAAATATAACTATAAATGTGATTTTATTTCCATCTCACTTGCATATAAAGTAAAAAGAGAGATAGATGTTCATTTACACTCAGTAATAAGTTTTAGTAGAAATTAGCGATGAAACTTCTTAGAAGTCAATGGATACACTGTGTTAAATGCTCACCTCCACTGTCTAGGCTCCTCTCTTTACCTAAACAAATTTTAAATGAACCTACTAGGGCCGCTTTCGAAGTAGGTTCTAAAAATGAATTGATATTAGTTCTGGACAGGCTCAAGCCTTTTAGTAGGTTATAGAGAGATTAAACTGTTATATCTTTCGCTCCTACTTCTACCACTGGATCTTTGGGACTCCAACGCGCAAATATCCTCTGGGATTTTCTATTGCTTCTCATACATGTCGCAGTACAGCTGGGGACGAAGTTGTACTAAAGTAAAATCGTTGCGGCACAGTTAGCAAGGTCACTAATGTGATGAGAATTGCATCAGGTGTCTTCATAATATTTACTTACCACGCCCCATTACAATACAAGTGCTCCGCGATATTTTTTGTTCTTGATTATGTAAAAAACTATTGTGATAAGTTTTAAAATACTAAATGATTTTATTTTTAAGTAAGTACTCTATAAGAGCTAGATAGATAAAAAATTAACCTTACATTTGGATATCTTGTCCACTATTGACTTTATGGTTCGCCATTACAATTTTTAAATTTGGATTGAAAATTCTATTCGTATATCCTTAAATAAGAAAATATCCTAAAAGGTTCATTCAACTAATACATATACTTTGCGTCGTAGTTTCATGTAGCCAGAACAAAATTATTTGCACACGCAAACACTTTAAAACTTCAATACTATTAGTATCTACCTAATTAAAATTTTACACCCATACATAGTTACACCCTTTTTAATTAATTAATAATTAGCAGTACATAAGAATATATACATTTAGAATAAAATTTTAGCCAAAATCGATAAAGCTGTCGCCGTTTAACTTTGCCATGACGTCTTACTAAAGTTACAGTAGCAGACATTTAAATTTCCTTGTTTTTAAATGACGTCAACAAAGGTTTCTCATTATTCATAACATGATATATCGCGTCGTATTTTCAAATAAAAAACCGACTAAACCACACTATATACAAAGAATATAGGTAAAAATAATCAATATGGTTATAAAAAATGAATGAACATCGCCGGGGCAACGACAATGTATCAAAAAACTTTCGTATAATGTCACAATGCTGTCTACTAGCTAAAGAAGAGCATTTTAGATAGGTACTGTATAAAATACTAGCTGATCCGGCAAACGTTGTTTTGCAATATAAAAAAATAGGGGTTGTTGATAAAAAAGTAAATATTTTGGGTCGTATATAATGCTACATTATAAAAAAATAAAAACAAAAAACTTCGTCCGAAAAAAAATCAAGGGTGAACAACCCTAATGGGTGTAAAAAATAGATGTTGGCCGATTCTCAGACCTACTCAATATGCTCACAAAATTTCATCAAAATCGGTCTAACCTTTCGGAGAAATTCTCTGCCTAACACCGCAACACAAGAATTTTATTTATAAGATAATCAGCGCCATGAAATAGGCAGTAATATAGTGTATGTAGTTAAGAGGTTATGTAGCTATAACTACGAAACCAGTTGAAATTTTTTTTAAACTTTGCTGACTGTAGTTCTCATCTAGATAACTTTAACAGTAGTCCTTAAAATATTTTGAACAGATTAAAATAATACTTAATCCTGTCGCATAATAATGGATTGAAACTAAATTATCGCAGTTTAGAATTCTAGAATTAAAAATACTGCTTCTTAGACACACTGTATTTGAACATTACAGTAATAAAAAATGTTGTCAAAATATGCTATCATACTTCGTATTTCATAAATTTTAGAACCTTACACAATTTTATTACATAGTAACTTTAATCACCGACTCCGCACTTTTTTATGTTAAATTAATTAAGTAATTTCACCTTTCCTTGTATGTATCAATTTTATTACAGGTGACCTAAAAATATATAATTTCTTAAAGTGGTATGGTCGCTTTTGAAAAATTTTAGTACGACTTCAAAACTATTTAACAGGTAACACATGTTTGTAGTTTTATCTATTATAAATGTAAGGAAATTATATATTTTTAAGCTTAATAATATCATTAGCTCACAATCACATTAGTTTAAAAAAAAACACAGAGTCTTTAACACATTAACTCATTAATTAATTTTAGCTTCATTTAAATCTATTGTCTGATAATTAAGAATTAAAGAACGAATACTTACAAAATAATAAGCATAAGCACATTGATGATCCCATTTGTTAACAACATTATTAAAGAAAAAAATTGCATATATAAATATGATAAATTAGTCTATGGACTTTTATGTTTTAGTATGACCACCTAAAGCAACGTGGAGAAAAATAACACGATTGTCTATTCGCCATCAAAATGGCGTCATCGAAGGAAACCTATTGTTTGTGTGGCCAACCATATAATATTGGTCAATTTATGATAGAATGTGATTGCTGTCGCGAGTGGTTTCACGGAAGGTAAAGTGGAATATGATAAAGTTTTTATGTGAAAGTAATATTGTGTGTGAAAAATATGTTAAATAAATCTGACAGCACTCCGCTGGGCCACCATGTTATGAAGATGTTTTTCGTAATAATCTTGTGAAATTAATCTTATAATTAATATCGTAACAGGAATACACGTTTATATATTTATTCTGCTGTATTCTATATGTTATATGTGTAAAATGTAATGTGATACGGTTTGTTTACATCGTTGGTCACCATGGGATTAACAAATGCGTGCTTGTGTTGTGTGATTGTGCTTTGTCAAGCCGTAGTTGATAAGAACACGGAAATAAACCGGCTTATATAGGAATAGAATAATATCCCTGTAATAAGATATACCGAAGTTTCATCCTTTTTTAGAAAATACGGTTTCGTACTGTTTCATATTGTAATAATATTCAAACATTTATGTAATCTATCTCGTTTCAGTTGTGTTGATGTTAAAATTTACCATTCGGATGATATAGACAAGTATCACTGTCCAAAATGTGCCCAGACTTATGGACCGTCAGTTTGTAAGTAAAATTTTTGATATTTATAATATTTATTTAAAAGACAGTAAAAACAGATCCACTTATTATGAATATGGTTATTAATTACACTGTTTAATATTAATATATATTTGCATTACTATATAAAATCATTTACTTACCATGATAATCCTAAAATAGCTATATTAAAATTTAATTATATTTCTACACAGTACGTTAAAAAAGACTAAATCATAAATATATTCTAACATATACAGTACAATCTCACTAATCCGGCACTTCGATAGATTGGCACGTCCAATAATCCGGCACCTTCGCCCTCACCTCCTTCGCCCCTTTACACCTGTCCGCTCCGATCCCAAGACATTGTCCCAAAAGTCAAGAAATTTATGAAAAGATCCAACTTGCCCATAAAAGCTTTACTCGTACTTGACAATGCTCCAGGCCACCCAAATATACAAGAACTTAAATCAAGTGATTTGAATATTTAAACCATCTTTCTACTACCAAACTGCACACCTTAACTTCACCTGATGCTTCAAAATGTTATCCAAATAATTTCAAAACTATGTAATGACATATGTATATAAACATGTTAATTTAGTACATTACATATATTAATTCCTTCTATGAAATGTTGTATTTTATTTATTATTACCTATGACTATTTCACTATAATCCAGTAATTCGAACATTCCAATAATCCGGCACCCTACGGTTTTTAATAGTGCCGGATGAGTGAGATTATGCTGTATATCAATATTATTATTACAGTAAAGATCCCTACAAACAATCACCGAGCCGATCGTTACGAGCTTGGAGCAGAGACAAGACCTTCACAAGCTGGATCGCCAGCATGGGTACGAGCTCTATCAGCTCGGCCCATGAGGCCCACGGCCGCAGCCCTAACTACCATGAGACCTGAACAGTTTACCGAGGAGTTTGTCAGAGATAATTGTTAGTCGTAACTATTGATTTAAATATACACAGTTAAATAGCAGAGTTTTGATATGTGGTTAAAGAATTTTATTTCCTCATAAAGAACATACAATGTTCACTTAAATGAGGTATATTACATAATTTAATTTAATTAACAATTTAGTATAGTAGTAACGACTTATACAATTCAAGAGTAGTTAATCTAAGTGATTTTTTTTTTGGATATTAAAGGTTTAACACATACTTTTTAAATAATTAGATATTTGTTTAAACAAGAAATCTTTTACATAAATAAACCCCTGTTTTATATGTATAATTGTTTAACATATTTTATTTTCTAAATTACTTTTATTAATAATTTTCAGTGTTCACAAGACCTGTGATCTTTAACACCTCCGACGGTCTCGATATGAAGGTACCTAATGCGGAAACATTTAACGTAAGATCTGTGCTACGATATTGTGGAGCTCAGTTAGAGGTAATATAGTATCCATATAATATTTTATTTATATTAATCAGTATTGATTTAGTAATAAAATGTAAGCACAGTGTAGTTTGTAATAAAATTCTAATATTTGCATCCTAAATTCTTACTTATGTGATAAATATTTCTATGATTTTTATGTTGTATATATAGGGTGACTGGTGAATAACTATCAATATTTAAGGAGAATACTCGGTATATGATTCTCATTCGAATTATGTAAAAAAAATAGGTACTTAATTTTTGACCAAACTTCCGTATAAATAAATAAAGTGTGGACACGTTCCAAGTGTTTTAAGGTGGTAGAGCCTAGCTGTGGTAACTTACTACAGCTCGAACATGGGCTGGCTCGACCGGGGAAGTACCACCCTCTCACAGAAGATCGGCGTGAAGTAGCCTTTAGTGGCTGCGTTTCGTCCGATGAGTGAGAGAGCCGGTTGCCCGTTTCCTATTTCCCACCCTTTCCTACCATTTCCTTATTCCCACCCCTCCCTATTCCTAAAAAAACAAGGTTGGCAACGCATTCGCAACAAACATGTTGCGGATGTACATGGGCGGCGGTACTACCTCACACCAAGTAGGCCGTCTGCTCGTTTGCCACCTTTGACATAAAAAAAAAAAGTGTTCCAAGTGTGGACGCGTGCGGCGGCGTGCTGATACAACACCACGCCGCCGCACGCGTGTGTGTGTATGTGTGTATACCTAATCTGTAGGGTGTTCACACGATGCGTAATTAAGTACATAACTTTTGGTTAACTTTACTTAGAAGTTTATTAATATTTATGTTATATCAATTTTTATTTTCTCATATATGATCGTCAAATATCACGTCCTCAAATATCGATAGTAATTCACCAGTCACCCTGTATAATAATATATTAATATAAAGTATGACTGATTATTATTTTTACTTAAGAAAAGGCTGTATAAAAAATACTTAGATAATTTTAAGTTGAAAGTATTATACAGAAGAACTATCACACAAATTAAAAATTATGAATAAGTATAGTCAAAATAGATATATAATATCTATTATTTAGTATAATTTTCATTTAAATATAAGTTTTTGACTTAAAAATGATATTTTTCAGGTTGAAGTTATAGATGTACGTAAACAATCAACCTTACGAATGCCGCTCGGAGATTTTGTGGATTATTTTGAGACACCACAGGAACACAGGGATGAGAAAGTACTCAATGTACTTAGTCTGGAGTTCACTGATACCAAGTATGTATTGATTTATTTAATTAGTCAACATTACTTATTTAATTAGTAAGTATAGTATAATAGCATAAGTAAGACAAGCAGTGACTAATTTATATAGTCTCATATATTTGTGTATACTTACAAAATACATATAAAAGACATTACAATGATTATATTATTCAGGAAAGCTAGTGCAAATATTATTATGATAAGTTAATTCAGTAAATTATACTATAATGGTAATATATGTACCATGTAAATGGACACATAAAAAATTTAATTGTGCAACCTCAGTAATTATTTTTTATTTTATTTATTTAGGAACACCAACAGTACACATATGCAACATTTATATAAAAAATAGAGTAAAAAGTATAGGTCTTCATAAGTACACTTATTACAGTTATTCACAGCACTATCTAAAAAGTTTTATAACAACGACAACACCTTAATCTAACTAAATTAAATTACTACTACTACAAAAAATAAACTATTTAATAAACAACAACACATAAATTAAAAGTGAAATAAGGTTTTAGTTTTAGCTACCAGAGTATGAGTATACTTATCGAAATTACGTTATATTTGTACACTGTTATGTATTACACTTGCTTGGTATTGTTAAATAATGATATAATATCAAATATTATGTACATAGATCAATTTAATATATTAGGTTCTATCATTAAGTCTTGCTTCTTACCTAATATATACATTACCAATGTAATATAGTTTTACCATATACTACTGTTCTATATTGATTATAAACTTTTTTCCAGTATGTGTAGTCTAGTGGAGCCCCCTCTAATCGCTCGTAGTCTAGACTGGGCTCGAACTGTATGGTCTAGCGAGGAACCAGCTAGACCACATGTCCAACGATACTGTTTAATGTCAGCAGCTGGCTCATATACAGACTTCCACATAGACTTTGGTGGTACTACAGTGTGGTATCACGTTCTACATGGGAGAAAGGTATTGGAATTGGATTAATACTATTACTGCCCCCGACTTTCGTCTATTTGACTCCTCGTATAAGCAAAAGATATTGCAATCAATCAGTAGTGCCATCTAAATTGTGAATTAGATAAAGTAGTATCTAAAAAATGTGTAATTGATGCCAAAAATCGGGAATAAATTATTTCACGTGTTAATCTGATGTAAAATCTATATTATTGAAAAGTTTCATCAAAATGTTTTTTTTTAGTTTTTTTTTTGTAAATGAGTAACAAACATGAAACATCCATACAAACATTTGTCATTTATAATATTAGTTTTATATAGTTATTATGAGGCATAAATACTTATTTTATTTCATAAAAAAAAGATATTTTTATATTTATTAATTTGTTTCAGGTTTTCTACCTCATTCCCCCTACAGCTACAAACTTAGCTCTATACCAACAGTGGAGTGCGGCTAACAATCAAACAGAAAAATTCTTTGGGGACATGGTATTTATGATTTATTTATCTTAAATGTTTCCTTTACGTATTTAATGTTAAAATATCAGATATATACTTATATATATTATTTACTTGATAAGTAAACAAAAAATGGAAATTTGTATGTATTAAATTAAAATATTGATTTCCAAAATGTTCCATTGATTCCTAGACTAGATGAGATTTTTGACTTTAAATTGTTACAAAAACTTACCTTAAATTTTAATATAGGTAAATGATATTTTAAATCAAAAGTTTCTTACATTTCATAATAATTCCAAAGCTTTGAGAAAATAAAAAATAACATCCATAAATAGATCTTGTTTCTATATTTTTATTGTGCTTTTGCAAATATGTAATGCAAATGTTGCTTAGGGGAGATACGAGAAATATTGTGAAGGTGGTCTATACTAAAAATAGATTAGAAACGGTCAAATTAATGAGCTTTGTATACATTCGTCCCTCTCTTAATAAATATTATATCGTATCGTATTATAAGAGTATTAATCAATTTCTTTATCAAATTTCAGGTGGAATGGTATGGTACGGCTGAATTAAGTCCCGGTGAGACCCTCTTCATACCAACTGGATGGATCCATGCTGTATACACTCCAACAGATTCATTGGTGTTTGGAGGAAATCTGTTACACTCATATGCTATTGAGATGCAATTACAGTGAGTGTGAAAATGTCCTACATAGAATTTAAAAACTTACGAATATGTATATAATAATAAAAGGGTAGATCTAGAATTTAAATTAAACTAATCATTTAAGACACTTAACATCATAGCTATAAGTAGTTTTAGAAAGTGATTATTGAATTCTATAAACCATTGAAATTTTTATAATGATCGTTATTTAATTTCTCAAGGTATTTTTTATTTTTGATGTCTAATGTAAAACAGAATGATAATTTGAAATTTAAAATAAAAATTGCTTCATATTTTTTCAATACAATGAAAAATAGTAACTGATCAAAAGCTACTTGTATGGAAAAATTTTCATTCATAAATTTTTATTATTTTCTATCCATTAAAAAAAATGTCTGATCAATGAAACACTTCAGATTATGTCATTCTAAAATTATAATTACAAGATAATAGCAAACAGTCACAACATTCATGATTTATGACATCACAGACCAAGACTATATAGAGGCATACTAGTATAAAATAATATTACAGAATTTACGAGATCGAAAGCCGAGTGGAGACGCCGGTGTTATTGCGGTACCCTCTGTTCGAGGCGTTACACTGGCTGGCGGCGGCACAGTTGTTGGCTGTATTACGACGAATAAATGAGGAAACACAGGTATGAGCATAAACTAAAATTAAAACATAAAAAATACCATGAAAAATCACTAGTTGGATTCGAACCTGCTACTTCGAACCTGCTACTGAGTTTGGTTAGAACTTTTCAAAAGTCTGGGATAAAAAATGTTCTTTCTCAAGGTCAACTCTATCTCTATACCAAATTTCATTAAAATCAGGTCAGCGGTTTAGGCGTGAAAGCGTAACAGACAGACAAGAGTTACTTTCGCATTTATAATATTAGTAGGGATTCACACAATTAGTCTTAAAAAAGTTTGAGCGTATATTAGAAAAGTTACAACAATATCATACAATTCTTCAATAATCATTTTACTTTATGTTACATTTGATTCTCAGTACAATTATTTAAATTCACTTATAATTAAAGAGAGACATTTTGTTATTATTTTCATGTATATCTTTAATAATATTAAAATATTTCCAGGATGAAGATTTCACTCTACATGAGGGTAGTTCATCACATCCGGTCGAACTGCCACCACTTCTGTTACGAGGGATAAAGATATTGGCCAACGCTCTCAAGGAGTGGCATGCTTTGAAGGCGGTTAGTACAAATATATCTTATATACTTCTATTATATATTATAATTGCTAATAGTCATGTTTGTGTTACTGAATTATACAGTTGTAGCATACAGACTGAATCATGTTTAAAACACGATATTTAAGTTAAATTTGCTTTAACTCAGGGAGCGTTCAACTATTACTTAAGATTTTTGACTCCCCCTTCCCCCCTCGTAACGCACAGTAACGTTTTTCTGTAGTCCCCCCCCCCTTCTCAAAACGTTACGTAACACTCAAGTGATCAATTCCATCCAAAGTCGTAAAACAATATGTAATAGTTTGGTATAGTTTTAATCTACTAAATGAAATTATTGAATGAAATTATTGATGAAGAAATTACATTATGAACACTATGAACTCACGGATAAACCCTAACCAATACTGACCACGGAAGCAACATTAAAAGACAATGCAATCCAGGTATTCCCCGTAAAATATTAATTAAGAGGTTTGCAAACTTGGAATAACAAATAAAAATATCGACCAGACTAATACAATCTGGTCAACATAATGTAACGTATATGAAAAGAGTTGCCAATTTGGGGGTTTTTATTAATACCTTTTTTTATAAACAATGGTACGTAACGTTAATGGTCAACGTTGTAGGAGACACCCCCTCCCGTCCCTGTAACGTTTCGTAACGTTTTACGAGACCCCCCCCCCTCCCAAAATTGCGTTACGTAATACTTGAACGCTCCCTCACTAATAAAATGAAATTAAATGTAATTTATTAAAATATATGTAAAATTCTGATTCGCCATCTCATAAGTCCCGACCTCAGTTCTTAGTATCAAATATATAGTAGTAATTGTAAAATACAGTGTGTAGTAAAATATATACCATAAATTTACTTTTATTATATAGTTAAGATAAGGTTATTCTGAAGGAAATGTAGGGAGGTCTATTTCTTTGTGATTATCAGTGGCGGCTGTACCTTAAGTGCACTCGTGCGCTGAACCACCAATTCAAAAGATTTAAAAATTACAAAATATTACTTTATCTATATTTTTAAATTATCATTTTAATATTTATTTTCTAAACATACAAAAACGTATAAAAAAATAAATTTCTAATTATAGTCAAAAAGTTTGAGCGCTTTACTAAACTAATATCTCGTGCGCTTCGTCGAGTGCACGAGGACTCCTAATACATCTTGTATGAGATACGCATTAATACGCCTGGCGCGTGAAACAAAAGATAGTTCATAGAAATGTACCGAGTAATGAGTCGGTTCTCGAGCGCCGCACGAGCGGCCGAAGATTACCGAGAGCACCCGATGTATGACGAATTGGAATTGAAAAGAATCAAAACTTTTCTACGAAATACCATGCACTTGCTATATGCACTTTCTGTGCTTAGTATTGAATTTAAAAAATATACAAACAATACCTGATTTTAATAAATAGGTGATTGAACATTTCGCTTCGGCAAAATGTCGTTGCATTAATTAATGTATAAAAAATAAACATATTTTATGTCAATTGTTGTTTTGTAGCATTTTCTAATTTTAATATTTTAGTAAAGTGCACCACCAGTTTGATAACCCACCAGCCGCCACTGGTGATTATATACAGTAGTAATCTAGTCCCAGCATGTTTATTAAATGTAATGTATTTTCAGACGGATGCTTCAAAGCGTGACAACGTACCCAAATGTATAAACTCTGGTCAACTGGTGAGGGAATTATGTAAAGAGTTGAGGACGTTGGAAAAACGAAATACAACAACTAAGGATAAGGTGAATATAAACACACACACACACACATATATATTACAAATGATTAACGAGTATATTCGTATATTATAATTAATAATTTTTGAAGTTATAATTACTTATGGGTGGGTCAAAGTTTCGTAACGTAACGCGTAACGCCACTGAGTCTGGTGTCTCTTTCTCTCTTGTATACGGCGTCAGTACTAAACACATTATCAATTTAATATATTTATATAAAATTTAAGTATTAACCTACACTTTTTGTAAGTTACACAATGTCTTATACTTAAAATTATCACTTTTGTCGAATGTCCTAAAACACACAATATTTTTTTCTTAAATTAATTTAGCAATGATTATGAAAATATTTATATTATTATAGGTATTTTTTAATTTTCAGGATGTAAAACAGAAGAATCAATCTCCCACTAAATCCCAGAACAAAAAGCAAGCAACACCAAAAAAACCAATCAAGCTTACTCTACCGAAACCAATTATGCACATGAATCAGAACACTGAGTTCGTTGAAGAAAAAACGTATCCAGATAAATATTATGTAGATAATAAAGAGGTTGTATACACAGATAGGTATATACAGGATGTTAAATATATAAGCACTGACGTCAAATATGTTGCCGGGGACAAGTTTGTGAACAATGACGTCAAGTTTGTTAACAGTGACATTAAGTTCGTCAATAGTGACGGCAAGTTCGTGAACAGTGACGTGAAGTTCGTGAATAGTGACGTGAAGTTCGTGAACAGTGACGTGAAGTATGTTTTGGACGGGAAGGAGACGATCTTGCCGGAGAAGTATTCGTACCAAAATTTTGAAGAAGTTAACTACCCAGACAATGGTTATGGAGATAGACAAGATAAGAAGGCCGCGTTAAAAGTTAAATTAAGGTAATATTACTAGTAAACTACAATATAAATGTAGCTTTACAGTGGATATTACTTCTATGGTAAAAATAAATATAGTCAATTATTTTCTTATATGTCCTTCTCAGACATAAAAATAGTCAGATTATTATAGATTAAACGAATATATTAGTCAGAATATCTATCTATACTATTCTAAATATGTAATCCAAAATATTACCACATAATAAGCATACAAAATTATCATTCAAATATCTAAAAACATATAAAACTCCCAAACTGTCAGTATACACGTGTCAATACTAACTCATGTTAAGCAAGCTATAACTTTACAGCAATTCCCCATCATCATCTCGCGAGGAACCTCCGCCCTATAGTCTGCCGGAACATTCCATACTGAAGTCACATCTCATTAGGACTGATAGAAGTTTGAAACCCGTACACCAATGGACTATATCTAAGAAGGATATCGGAGACTATCATGACGAAGAAATACTATTCACCAACGAGAACCTACAGACTAATGTCAGGGTTGAAGGACAGGAAATGAACTATGGGGCAGGTGAATACGGGGGATTATATATGTTTAAATGAAAGTTATATCTTTCGGATGTACTACGCGACTTTATTTTTGATAAAAACTACATACTCCAGACGTTTCGGTTACTTTTCAGCAACAATAATCACGGGCAGATGAGATGATAAAATTTGGATAATGTAATATGTATTATGTTTATACATTCACTTTATAGTAATACTTGTAAATATTTCTGTCGTAATTCGTTAGCTTAATAACTTGAAACAATATAGGTTACTATGTTATATTGAAGGTAATGAAACTTCCTTTACAGAATGAGACCTAAGACTCTCGAGTGTTAATTTAAATGAATTTAATATTTTCGGATTACTACCATTATTTTATTATTTGAAAATACTTACTCGAGACGTATTGGTTACTGCAAAGTTAATACTTTTTTTTTGGATATATTTTTTTAAATTATAACTTCAGTTTAATGAACTATATTATCATCAAATTTTTATAGCATAACTACTAATATCTTTATATATATAAAAATTTCGTGTCACATGTTTGTCCGCGATGGACTCCTAAACTACTAAACCGATTTTAGATTTGGTTTGCATTCCGTGTACATTTTGACCCAACTTGAAAGATAGGATAGCTACATCTCAATTTATAATCACAATTTTATTTTATTGCTAATTATTTGTCTGTTAAAGAAAATTATTTGTCATTATTACAATTATCTGTTGACTGAGTTAAGTATTCAATAGATGGCGCTATGTTAATAATACAAACGTCATATATGAGCGACTATTTAATACATAATAGCATAACCACTACGTGTTTCTGAGGCTAAGGTATAACCTAAATTTATTTATTAAAAAAACTTAACTGATATTTCTTTATTATAGGACGATACGACGTTCGCCGGGTCTTCTAGTATATGTATATAATATAAATAATATATAATATGTTATGTACCAGGTATGTACTCGGCGGAGGATATGCATCAAGAGTATCAGTATGGAGACACGGCGAAAGGCTACCACCAGCTGTACCAGCCCGACACGTACCACTACACGAGATACGAACAAACAGTCACCACCCAGGTACATATATATATTAATACTAGCTGCGCCCCGCTGTGTTACCCGCGGATTTCCGGGTTGTAAAGTAGCCTACGTGTTATTCCTGGACATCAGCTTCCTGTATACAAAATTTCAACAAAATAAGTTCAGCAGTTGGAGCGTGAAGAAGTAACAAGCATACACACACACTCACAAACTTTCGCAATTATAATATTAGTAGGATAACTATTATATATCATTGGGATAGTGCAAATCCGCGTAACTACCATTGGATAAATCCGCGTATATATTGGAAGTAGATTAAACACTAAATAATTACTAATTGTGAAAAAAATACCTTAAAAGTCGTTAATATAGATATTATCTCAGCTCAAACTTTCTTTTGATAATCTGCTTCCAATGTAAATACGTGGAATTATCCAATGGTAGTGATAGTGCATTTCCAGTTACAAGGAAATGCACTATCCCCGACGATATGTATACAGGGTGACTGGTGAATTACTATCAATATTTAAGGAGCATACTCGGTACATGATTCTCATTCGAATTATGTAAAAAAAATAGGTACTTAATGTTTGACCAAATTTCCGTATAAATAAATAAAGTGTTGACACGTTCCAAGTGTTCCAAGTGTGGACGCGTGCGGCGGCGTGCTGATACAACAACACGCCTCCGCGCGCGTATGTGTGAGTGTGCGTGTATACCTAATCTCTAGGGTGTTCATACGATGCGTAATTAATTACATAACTTTTGGTTAACTTTACTTAGAAGTTTATTAATATTTATGTTATATTAATTTTTATTTTGTCATATATGATCGTCAAATATCACGTCCTCAAATATCGATAGTAATTCACCAGTCACCCTGTATATGAAAAATTTATGAAGAATAACTGTAGAGATATGGTATTATATTAAGTCACTATCGATTTGAGATAAGTTTGAAATGTAATAAATTTAATGAATACTTCATTAACTACTTTCGAACTTGAGGCTTTTGTAATATGACACTTATATAATAATAATAAAGATGAAAATACCTTAATTTTATACCTAATAAGTTTTAAATCTATTTGTATGTGTTCCAGCCTCAACCATATAATAGTAGCACATACACAGAGACACAGCTGCCTTCATACGACGCGGCGATCGCTCACCAGTACCAGAATAATTATGTAAGGAATCCTTTAATAGTTATGTATATTGAATGAAAAAGGATTTAGAGCTGAACCCACCACGCCGTTATGAAATGGGTTGATGAGTCAACTCAAAATTCATCCTAAACTGTACAGGTTTTTAAGTCGCGAGTTAAGCGAGAATATTAATATAAATGTAATAATATTATCAGAATTACTGATATTATAAGATATTTTTTGAAATGTTAATTTTTTTATAAACGAACTCATAAAAAAAATTATAGAGATTTGTTATATTTGTATAAAAAAACATTAACTTAGGAATCAAATTATACACTTAAATTTCAGAATACTGAGCAGTCTAGGTCTTATTTTCTTAATAGGTCTTATTTTTTGTAATAGCACGCAAAATCTTTATATATAACAAAAAGTCATGCTAGTTACACTATTTCTAACTCAAGAACAGTTTTACGGTTCATGGTGAAAATTTGTGAAGAGATGGCTTAGAACAAAGAAAAAGGCATAGGATATTTAATTCTGTTTGATAACAAAACATATTAATAAATTCCAATATCTGATTATTTATGGCCTCTAAAGCGGAATAGAGTTCGCATATAACATATATATTACTAATTACGAAATTAAAGTTGACGATATCACAGTCAAACACTAGTGTTTAATATATAACGTTATTATTCCAGGTGATAGAAGAGAAGCCTCCTCCCAAACCGGAGGTATCTGTCCGTCGGTCCGAGAGGCCGGTCCGTAGGAGAGTGTCGAGCTCTTACTCGTACGACGACGAGCTGTACATAGACGACGCGCCGCCGCCGAGGAGGAGGCCCAACAAGAGACACAACAGGAACAACGGTACGACAGAAACTGGACTTGACTAATATATGTAGCGTACGATGACTTAAATGAACAGGAATGAGCGACTTATGTGTGCATGCCCAAGTTCATGGTTTATTAAGTTAGATAGGTACCACGGAAATAATGAACTTGAACAACACTATATGTATATATAACATACGATAAACTTGAGGTTACGATTCATATATCATTCAACCAAAATATGCCATCGATACATGTATACCCAAGTTCATGGTTTATTAAGTCAGACAAAACATGATAATTAATTGGTATCACGGAAACAATGAACTTGTACACTACAAAATATAGCATACGATGAACTTGATGAACCGAAATTAGCTATTTGTGGGTGCATGCCCTAGTTAGATAGGTACCACGGAAATAATGAACTTGACAACAATATATATACAGGGTGACTGGTGAATTACTATCGATATTTGAGGACGTGATATTTGACGATCATATATGACAAAATAAAAATTAATATAACATAAATATTAATAAACTTCTAAGTAAAGTTAACCAAAAGTTATGTAATTAATTACGCATCGTATGAACACCCTACAGATTAGGTATACACACACACACACACTCGCGCGCGGCGGCGTGTTGTTGTATCAGCACGCAGCCGCACGCGTCCACACTTGGAACACTTGGAACGTGTACGCACTTTATTTATTTATACGGAAATTTGGTCAAAAATTAAGTACCTATTTTTTTTACATAATTCGAATGAGAATCATGTACCGAGTATGCTCCTTAAATATTGATAGTAATTCACCAGTCACCCTGTATATGATTTTGAACAATTTCATAGATTTTAAAAGATTTTTTAAATTCATTTCATTTTATATGGTGAACCGAACTTATAATTATGATATTATGTATGTAATAATATGTCTATACCTACAGCCACAAACGGTTCGTACCGAGCGCCCGCTCGGCCGGCCCCTACTAATGGAATCGAGTCGCTGATACAAGCGTCAGTATTGGCTGAGGAAGAAGCGCCGGTTAATGAGACGTGAGTTATATATACATATATAGTAATAAGCGTTAAACCTATATAAAAATTTATATTACCTTAAAAAAAAACAAGTTTTGTCTTATTAAATATCTGAGAGTCTGATAAAAATGCAGAATAATTCACTTCATGTAAATCCGAGAAATATAGTTAGTTTCATACATATATACTTTCAATTTAAATCTTATTACATTGATAGAGCATATTTATCTAATGTCTACCATGACTATTCATATAACTTAATTAAAAAAATGTATGAAAATAGGTAAATTAATATAATTATCGTTACAGTGAAGACGCAGCGGTAGCGGGTATGTTAAGTATTAGTGAGAGATACGAGCCACCAGCCACCTTCGGCATAGCTGTGGATACATCGGAACAAAGAAACAGGTATACATACATATGTGCATAAATATAGTAATTATCACACTATGTATTTAATACAAATTTGTATTCATAAATGCGTTTGAGTTATGTTTTTTGTCTGAACCAATGCATTTAAGTATTTAAATATTTTCTTAAGTCTCCATTAAGCTTACTAAGTTCTCATACAAAGAATGAAGTCAAGCACATGTAATCTAACATTACACCGACATATTATATATAATTAAATTTATAACTAATTTATACTTTAAATTTTAAAGCAGTGGTACTACAAGCACGGGTCGGGCGAGAGTACGTAAGAGTGTCACGACCGTGGAAACTGTAGACGAGTTTGATGAAGAAGATGTGATCAAGGAAGTACACCGGGATGAAGAGTATGGTGGGTTGTGGAACATACAGACATACACACACACATACAAACACACACACATACATAACCACATACACATATATACATCCTTATAAAGACTCGAATAACATACATACATACATAAACGCAGACATAGATATACACGCGCACGCACAAATACATACATATAAAGACTTGAATAATATACTTACATACATATAAATAATCAGCTGTCTGAAATATATGTAATAAACTATCACAAATATTTAATAGTACATGTTCTTCAGTCGTATAAAAATAAAGGCAACTGTCATAGTTTTATTTCTTAAAAGCGACGTTATGAAACACTTCTTAATCAATCACATGAAAAAGAAATGATCTACAAAAAGATATATTAAAACAATCAGACAATATAATTGTATAGAAGAACTAGTATAGTCCTTTAGACTAAAGCTGAGCTTTGCATTTGTGTGAGTGAAAGTAAAAGTAGAGTTAGACAAAAAAAAAATAGAATTAAATTCTATTATATTTTAAATAGATACCTAAAATAAATGCTAGTACTATTCTAGATTTAAAATAAAATAAGCAAAACTTGTAAAAGGCCAAATGGAAATATTATGGAAATAAAATATTAAGTAATCAAAATTTAGAAAAAACAATACAATTTTTCTTCACTTGATATTGCGTTTTCAACATTTGAAGCTGCTACCATTATAACGGGTGAAGTGCGGAAGTAAGGGGCGGAGTAAAAGCAGAATAAACCGGTTCAAAACTAGAAAAGAACGTTTCATTCAAAAATTTGACATCACACCTACACTATCCGTGTGCACTCACACAAAAACAAAGCTCAGCTTAAATCAAACGCACTATAATATAGTTTATTTAAATATGTATTATATTCCTCAGTGTACCCTTCGCTGGAGATGAGTTCTGATGATGAAGAAGACTGGTCTGTGAGAAGAAAGAAGGCGGCTCGAGTGAGACAGGACAGTCGAGGGAGGAATGATAAGTTAGTTGATATAATACACATTATGAAACTAACATATTTTATATGTATACTAGCTTTCCGACCGCAGCTTCGCCAGCGTGGAGTTCGGTTATATCGCGTTTCCAAGAGAACCTTTCAAAAGTCTAGGATAAAAACTATCCTATATTCTTTCTCAAGGTCAACTCTATCTACCAAATTTCATTAAAATCAGTTCAGTGGTTTAGGCGTGAAAGCGTAACAGACAGACAGGCAGAGATACTTTCGCATTAATAATATTAGTAGGGATTAGTAGGGAAACAGCTATATAAAATAAACATTATAAAACTATCATTTTTTAACCAAAATTTTATATTTTTTACACAAAAACCTAATTGTTATTATATAAATATGTAGGTGTAACTTTCAATCCTAATTCAATTTGAGTTTTTGCATATCTTAACATGTTAAGTAACTAAACAAGATATTTTATAGTATAAATAACTATTGATACATTGGTATTAAATCTTCAGTTGTAGTTATATTAACCAATCTAAGTATTGTGGTGTAGTGAAATTCTATTCAAGGATTTTTTTTAACTTATCTTCTATGCTAGCTATCCTCATTTACATTAGAGCCATTTCTTAATTACACGTTTTTATCTCATTGAATATTTTCTATATCACAATTATTAGTAAACACTGAATAACATTTTAATATCGCTTATATCTGTAATTCCTAAACTTTCTTACTATTAACTACCTATATATCTCGTATAATATATATACTATATTATATATGTTTTATTTTCCAGGGACGAGTCCTGGTGTCCCCGGGGCCGCCTCCCCCGTACTCCCGTAAGGCACCGGCCGGCCCGTACGGCTGTGAGGAGGGAGTGTGTGAGAGCGGCCTTACACGCGGCCTCCGTTAGAACGACGGACAGACGACCCGAAGTAATATATGTTATATATACAGGGTGACTGATGAATTACTATCAATATTTAAGGAGAATACTCGGTACATGATTCTCATTCGAATTATGTAAAAAAAATAGGTACTTAATTTTTGACCAAATTTCCGTATAAATAAATAAAGTGTGGACACGTTACAAGTGTTCCAAGTGTGGACGCGTGCGGCGGCGTGCTGATACAACACCACGCCGCCGCACGCGTGTGTGTGTGTGTGTGTATACCTAATCTGTAGGGTGTTCACACGATGCGTAATTAATTACATAACTTTTGGTTAACTTTACTTAGAAGTTTATTAATATTTATGTTATATTAATTTTTATTTTGTCATATATGATCGTCAAATATCACGTCCTCAAGTATCGATAGTAATTCACCAGTCACCCTGTAGAGTACACTAAATATAATACTAGCTGCGCCCCGCGGTGTTACCCGCGGATTTCCGGGATGTAAAGTAGCCTATGTGCTTTTCCTGGACGTCAGCTTCCTGTATACAAAATTTTATCAAAATCAGTTCAGCCGTTTGAGCGTGAAGAAGTAACAAACATACACACTTACAAACTTTCGCTATTATAATATTAGTAGGATACCGTCGGGGATTGTGCAAAACCGCGTAACTAGCATTGGATAATTTCGCGTATCTACATTGGAAGCAGATTATCAGAAGAAAGTTTAAGCTGAAATATTTTCTAAATTTATCATTAAATATCAATTAAACATTAAATAATTACTAATTTTGAAAAAAATACCTTAAAAGTCGTTAATATAGAAATTTGTACTTTTCTCTGTAAATTTTCTGTGTTAATATATAATTAGCTTAATATAATGATGTGCGTTTATATATTTGAGAATTATTTTGTTATATACTTGTTATTAATTATATATTATTGAATATAATGTACTTAATGAATATTTTCTGTGTAGAGTGCCAAGCGAGCGGTTTTAGCCACCAAGAGCCGACGCCCGCCAGCGCCGGTCACTACACCTAATAAAAGTATGTAAAATATATAATATATATACATATAATTAATACCCACAATTCACTACTATTATACTTAATATGTTTTGTAATAAACATCTGTTTTTGGACGGAGATATACTACTAAATAAATAGATTTTTAGTGGAGCTAAACCAATTTGTGAGCTGAAACAAACTTTACTATAAAACTACATACAAAATAACATAATAAAAAAGAGTTTTTTTATTTTAAACTTCCAAAAACCACATTCAAATTATGTACATTTTTACTATTCAGATGCGAAATATCACACTGTTATTATAATTTTAATATTTATCAACAAAATACGAGATTTCTAACAATTTTAATGTAATATAATTGATATATTGTAATATTTTAAAGATTCAAGACTGAAGAAAGGCATGAAGACAGCCAAGCAGCGTCTAGGAAAGATATTGAAGATACATAAAATGATATATTAAATTATAACTAGACTAGATGTATGTAGACGGACCAATTGTATGTTGTAGGTAGTAACACTGGTAATGGAAAATGTTTAAAGATCGCCCCAATAGATGTCGCTTTTCATAATTTTTAACTATTATTATTTAGATCTGATACGTTTAATTCTAAAAATATTATATTTTAATTCTCATGTACTATATCGCTGGTTCGATTTTATTAATTCTTATGTAACAATAGTTTAATATCTAAAAATGTTTTTTTTAACTACTTAAACTAGTTGGTTGGGTATGTTTAATATCTACTTATGTCGTACAAAAAGTTATAGACGCGTGTTATGTTTCATAAATTTAAACTCACCACCGATGAAAATTGTATATTAATATTTAAGTTTGTTAATTTCTTTAGTGATATAGTTTAAGTAGTCGTAATCGCTTCGTTGATAAGTCATTAATGGTTTTTGTTAATATCATCAAATGTTGTTTTTATTTGTCCGTCTGTTTGTAAATCATATCAAAATTTTTGCGTATGTCATAGGCGAAGTCTATTTTGATACAATGTTGACTATATCATTTAAAAAATATATATAATTTTACATATTTCATGAGCAAAAGTAATTTTTTTTTTGTTTGTGTACATAGTAAACGACAAAATCGCGTATCAAATCTGTATGAGAATTCATTTATTAAGAATATACACTCGTTTTTCGTATCTAAAAATATTGTTTATCAAATTGAAATTTAAGACTAGCGAGTATTCGTTTAAATAAAACTAATGTGTACTTTTGGAATTATTACTCCTTTTTTATTATTTTAACTACATACTCCTGACGTTTTTATCTATCTGCCCGTGATCACGGTTGCTGCAAAGTAACTGAAACTTCGGTAGTATGTAGTTAAAATATTAAATAACGCGAAGAAATCCGATTATATTAGTTTTGTCTAAGAAAACTTAAAATCATATATATTACACAAAAAGCAGGCTTTGATAATTATTAAATGATATAGCAACATATCAAAATAGATTTCCTCATACATATAAACAGGGTGTATCTTTATTGTATAGTTTTAAGTTCACAACTAACATTTATACTCTTGTAAAGAATAAAACATCAAAATTCGTTATTGACAATAGATTAAACGCTTTAATATATACTTCGATACTACGAGGTATCGTTGGTTCGTAAATGTTTGTTTGTATGTTACGAATAACACGTAAAATGAAAAGTTATGAGTGTTAATCTGATAAAATATTGAATCAGATGGCATTGACATGTTATTTTTGAAGTATATTGAATACTCTTATATGGAAACTGAAAAACTATATCCATATATATATATGATAGATCTGTTGGTCTTTAGAATCTATTCTTCTACCTGGCAATTTACTAGCTTTAGCCAGAGTCTGCCTTATATGTTGTGAATAATTTTGGCTAATTGTTTTTACGACCGGCCGCCTGCCTGACATCAACCCTCTTTGAGAATGCATTAATAAGTGATGTCTAAATACTCTTAGAAAGTACATATGATTCGGAAAAATCACATTGGAACTTGCCAGGGCCAGGATCGAACCCGCGCCCTTTAGAATCTGTCATACTAAAAATGGTAATAGAAAATACGATTAATATTATAATAATAAGGTTGAAAATTATATTTTGAATGACTTTTACTTAAACATGCATTTTCTCCAACTAATTTATCATAAATTTTCCATATAAGAGTCTTTTATATACTTCTATATATATCTACACTTACCCTGACTTTATTAACTCACAAATAATTATAATTAGTTTAATTTTAACGTGCTATGAATAGTAAATGTCGCGGGTTAATTTATTTATTATTAAGAAGCTTTGGATGGTTATTATTGGAAAGAAAATATTGTACTGATAACTTGATACATATATATATTATTTAACGATAGTCTAATCGGTTTTTCAGTTAATTTTTCATATAAATAGGTGACGATCCGATTTAATTATCAATTTAACCGATTTAACCGATAAATCCGTTACACAAAGTGATTTAAGTGTAACATTAATTAAAATTTAAGCTTCAAATGTATGTATGTCCCAATAATAAACTGATCTAGTGCCTCTATCCAGTATATAGTAAGTATAGGTGAATAACGCTATATGAAAAATTCTTTTTTATATTATTACTATGTATAAACGATTATCAATAAAGTATTTTTATATATAAGTTTAATAATCTTGTATATAATGTAGTTTTTTTGTGTGTTTTGTGTTGTATATGCGATCACGCACACATATTCACTCAGTTATAGTTTAACACACACACACACAATCAGTAATGATTTTTTTAATGCCGAAGAATTATATTTAATATGGAAATAAAAGGAATTTTCTTCTCTTGATTTATTAATTGTATGGCAATGTTAATGTAAGTGAAAAGATTATGTATAAAGCTCTACCCACTTTATGTATATTGTTGTGACAAAAAAAATTTTTAGACTTACAGCTCTTGTGTTTTATTTATATGAAATTGTTCTTACTTATGCTTTAGTGTTTTCAACCTTTGCATAATGCTATATAATTTGAAATGCATTTTTAAATTATATGAAAATTATTTAAGATATTGTGCAGAATACGACTTAGCAAATGAATTATTAGTATATTGAACAAATGAATAATGAGTGTACTGTATAGTATTAAGCGAAATGAATAATGAGTGCTGAATGAATAATAAATGTACTGTATTAATGGGAGCAAAATGAATAACGTGTGTAATACTATATGTATTGAGCAAAATGAATGAGTGCTCAATAGGACTGAGCAAATTAATAATGTGTGTTGAATGGGACTGAGCAAAATGAATAATGGGTGACTGATTTTTACTGATGAGATGAATAATAGTCTAAGATCCCGATATAAGGCGACCTTCACCGAAATGTTTATTTGATGAAACATATTTTATATTCAATTTAATATGTCAATAAATATATTACACATGGGTTGCCTCATAAATTTTAGTCCAGGATATGATTAATTAACAATTAAAAATAGATTTTTTTTCAAATATTTCACCGGTTTGATTATTAGATAAATTCCACACCAATCGAAAGTACGGAGCCCATAGAATATAAAAACGTTAGGTTGCCTATTCTTTTCCAGTCACAACTCTCGGGTTGCCAGGGATAAACAGGTACATCGATAGTAGCATTTTGCACCGGTCTGATAATTTAATCAAATTTAAATGAAAACAAAGAATATTTAATTACGAACAAGGTAGTATACGGTTGCCTCCGAAGGAGGTCCCAAGGAACCGTCGTGGTTTTAAATATGCATCTAAGTACCATCCGCAGCTTTCAGGTTCAAGTTTGATGCATATTGGATCTGTTGCATTCGGCCACATCGAATTTACGAAAATAGTTCAAGAATTTACAGCTTGTATATATGGAATTAAGAATTAACTAATGTGAATGATGCAAGATATCGTATTTTCATGAAAAATTACCATACTAAAGAAGACAGTGACCAGTTTCTAAAAATAATCAAAGGCTTTGAATGAAACTAATATTTTTCGGATGTACTACGCGCATATTATTTTTATCAAAAACGACATACTCCCGACGTTTCGGTTACTTTACAGTAACAGTGATGGGGGATCATACACCTTTAAGAATAGTTGATATTGTCGAGAGAACCGAAACAGAGAGTGATGACGAAGAAGATGCAGATGTCGAAGATCCCAGTTTTATGTCCGATGACTCAGAAGCTGAATAATTAAAAAAAAAGTATATGTTTTTATAATTTTGAACAATAAACAGGGTTTTTTTTATTTATTTTTGCTTGGGACCTCTCAGTCGCACATTTTCAATCGCAGAAACATTAAACTTTAAAAATTGACAACCCTCATTTAGGACTGATTTTTCGGAGGCAACCGTATACTACCTTGTTCGTAATTAAATATTCTTTGTTTTCATTTAAATTTGATTAAATTATCAGACCGGTGCAAAATGCTACTATCGATGTACCTGTTTATCCCTGGCAACCCGAGAGTTGTGACTGGAAAAGAATAGGCAACCTAACGTTTTTATATTCTATGGGCTCCGTACTTTCGATTGGTGTGGAATTTATCTAATAATCAAACCGGTGAAATATTTGAAAAAAAAAATCTATTTTTAATTGTTAATTAATCATATCCTGGACTAAAATTTATGAGGCAACCCATGTGTAATATATTTATTGACATATTAAATTGAATATAAAATATGTTTCATCAAATAAACATTTCGGTGAAGGTCGCCTTATATCGGGATCCTCTTCTATAAAAATTAGTCTAAGAAAAGTATGTGACATAGACTTAATGGTAAACATTTAAGGGATTTCATTGTTTTTCTTAAATAGGTGACATCTTTTTGTGATATATAAAATATGTATTTGTAAGCAGCAGTGGCAATCCATCCATTGGATTCAATAAAATAGTCAAAACTGAGGTAATTATGAAATAAGATGTGGGTTTAAAAAAATGATAGTGTGAATGAAGCCTTCATAAAAAAAAATTACAGAGCATCTCTCAAGCCATCATTTGGTATACAAAACTTGCGGCTTACTTCTTATTCATTAATGATGTAATTAAAAATAATAACACTGATTATTATTAATCTCTTAAAGATTTCCGATTCTATTACAAGTAAAAACGACCAATAGGAAACATTCCTATAGTGATATTAATTTTATATCTCAATCGCGTCAAAACTTCTGATAAATGAGAAAAAAATATATTATCTATAGTCTTAATTTAGGGCTAAAAAGGAATGAACATTTTAATAATCAATTTTATGATTACAATGTGTAAAGAATGATGTAAAGTCACAATTTAAATAATATAATCAATACATACATAGACTTCCCAAATAATGGTTTTTCTTAGCAGATTTTTTTTTGGTCTGATAGTCATGTCACTAATCGGTTTTAGAATAGAATAGATTATAGTTCTCAGTTAGTTGCCTTGAGATTATCGATTTCGAAAAAATCGGTTTACTAGGCATTTTCAAGTACACGAAAAGAACTTATGAACTTATTTAGGACAATTCTTGAGAAGAACGTTAAAACTCTCCCAGTTTCAATCGATTTGTTTTTATGTAAAAAATGGCAAACGAGCAGACGGCCCACTTGATGGTCAGTAGTGACCGTCACCCTTGAACATCCACAATATAGATGTTGCGGATGCGTTGCCAACCTTCTTGTGGGGGAAAAGGGAGGGGTGGAAATAAGGAAATACAAGGAAAGTTTGGGAACAGGGAAAGGGCAACCGGCTCTCTCACTCATCGGACGAAACGCAGTCATTATTGACTACTTCACGCCGATCTTCTGTGAGAGGGTGGTACTTTCCCGGTCGAGCCAGCCCATATTCGAGCTGTAGTAACTAAACTACAGCTAGGCTCTACCACCTTTTTTGATTTCGCAAACTGTTAAAACAGGGTTGGTCACTGTTGCCTTATTGTTAAGTTTTCTAGCTGTGGTCTATCTTTTTGTCGTATAGCTTAGATTTCTGGCTTTCAGAAAGAACTTGCTTTAAGATTAGCTGTTAACGTCAATTGCGGACATAGCAGGGGTTCTTCATGACTCTGTAAGTCCGAAGGTCAATATCTGCTGCACATAACGTTCTTCTATTACCCAGTGTATTTCTGTGTGTGGATGAAATCGCAGTAACGGAGTCCTACCTCATGCGTACGTTATTAGAACAATTTGCCTGCATCTGTGTTTCTTTATAATTATATTTTGGGAATGTTAAAATGTATATCTAATTTCTAATTTTAGCAATAAAATTTTAACAAACATCTAGTTTCAATTGCATATGTATTTAGTGATTATGTTATTTGTTAAGTATAGCGTGTTTGATTTAAGCTGAGCTTTGCATTTGTGTGAGTGCACACGGATAGTGTAGGTGTGATGTCAATTTGTTGAATGCCACGTTCTTTTCTAGTTTTAAATCGGTTTATTGAGCTTTTATCTTCCTTCCTCACTTTGCCCTTTGTACTGGTAGCAACGTCAAATGTTGAAAACGCAATGTCAAGTGAAGAAAAATTTGTATTGTTTTTTCAAAATTTTTATTACTTAATATTTTTTTCCATAGTATTAACACTTGGCCTTTTACAAGTATTGCTTATTTCATTTTTAATCTAGAATAGATCTAGCACTTATATTATGTATCTATTTAAAATATAATAAAATTTAATTCTAAAAGTTTTTTGTCTAACTCTACTTTCACTTTCACTCACCGCTCACGCAAATGCAAAGCTCAGCTCAAGTCTAACGGACATATTATTATTATCATAGTATTTGATATTTTAAGTTTTTTCATAGAATTCGTGTTTGATTTTTATTATTAAGTGTTGGATGTTTTTTTATTTGTAGACGTTTGTTTGTTTCATGTCATATATGATCCACATATTATACCAATGCTCAATATTTATTTAGTAATAAATGTATGTACGTATGTAGGTAGAAATTGTACTTACATATATGAATGTCGTTTTTAACATTACTCACTAAGCTCAGACAATATGTACAAAAGAACTGGTAATATTCTTAACAAAATAATTCTAGCTTTTTCTTGTCTCGTTTCAATAATATTTATATAAATAAGTCTAGATGATACTGTTGGATGCTTAAAAAGCATTTCAATCATAAATATGCATATCACTGAAATATACTTTTTCCTATTAAAGGCTCAGTAATTAAATTTAGGAACCAGTAACCATTAGACAGGTAATTTTATGTAGAAGTTGGACCAAAGCGAGAGTAAAATTATTTCGTTTAGTCTTATGTAGGCCATTCAACGTAGGACATTCACTGCAAAATTAGTTGCTAATTTCGGCCAACCAAGTCGTTAACCTTGCACTTTCCCCTGCCCCCGTAATGCTATTATAATCATGAATCTTTCAACTAGTCCTCTCTATTGCTTTTCACCTTTGTTTTATTATTACGTTATAAAAGTCTTTGACTGGTAGAAATGCCCTCTACCTAATTATTTTGATTATAAAAGATGTCAAGGTACTAAAACGAAAATAACGCGTATTATTTTGAGCTATTTATAGATAATTTATGTAAATCTACACAAAAATATAATTAAATTATAGAATAAAGAAGAAAAAATTTAAGAAAATTCAAGTTATTACTATAATTAGAAGTACAGAACAATGAGAAATATCAGTTTAATTTCAATGCCTATTTCACAATTAGGCCTTTAGAAGCATTGAAGAACAACTGTTCCTGAAAAAAAAAAAAATGAAGTTTAACTAAAAATTTATCCATAAAAATAGTTTAGTGGCTATCCCAAAGTGATTTTAAAAGTTTTCATTGATATAATAATGAGGAATGGTCCGTTTTATTATATGCAGCGAATAGGCTACCAAATCATATGACCAGCTGTAGCAATTTTTCAACAATACGAAATTACTGTATTAGAAGGATGAAAGTTATTAAAAAAATGGGTTTAATTTTTGATTCAAAAGAAGATCTTTCTTCATGTGCTCTACAAAACATTTTCTTTTATTTTTAAGTGAAAGGTTGCAAACGAGGTAGCTTACTTGATGAGCAGTAGTCACCATGGCTCGTGGGAGTCTGCAACATAAGGGATGTTGCGGATGTGTTGTTCGCCTTGATTTTTGGGGAAAGAGGACAGGGTGGGAAAAGGGAAAGGGCAACCATCTCTTTCCGCGTTTCTGACTTTGGTTGTGGAAGAGGGAGAGGAGATTATGAACAAGGAAAGGGCAACCTTCTCTCTCACTCATCGGACGAAAAGGGGATCTGATTAAAGATAACTTCACGCCGATCTTCTGTGAGAGGGTGGTACTTCCCTGGTCAGCTAGCTCTAGGCTCTAACTTACTTCGGGTAAGATCAAAATAATATAGTTATTACAATAACACAATCAAAAATAGTTTTTATGTTCTGTTATATAATTAGATTGTGTGTAACGAAAAAACAGTTTTATTTATAATCAACGTCTCTTATAGAGGTAATATTTCTAAAACATTTCTATCACAACCTATTATGAGAGTAAAGATGTCAAAAAAAAACTGTATATGTTTTTGTCAGCTTTACTATTTAAAAGGTTATGTCTTACTTTATAAAGGTCTATATTCTGTCCAGACGAGCCGCATTCAGGTCGGAAGATCAAGGGTAAAAGATAATAATTTTCTTGATGCAAGATGTATATGTATGGAAATTTAATATTGATTTTGTATAATTATTTCATTGTAATCAGTATGATAATAAATATATATATTTAGTAGTAATTAAGTTAAAAATTAGCGTTAATTTGATGAAGAACGTTAAACAAAGACATCATTTGTCTTTATAGAATGTACGCGCAGTCCAAATACATCAAACTTGAAAAACTACATAAACTCGTAAAGATATTTATACATTATAACAAGTTAGTACAAGGGTTAAATTAAAAGACTTGAAATAAAAATAAATGAAATATATATTTTTCCACCATAATTAAATACAAGTACAATGGCATTTTTTACCTTAAAAGGCATACTTACACTTTGAACACTTTATTTTTAACAATTACACATACTTATGTATTTACATTTATCATTCGCAACAATTCTTCCGGGTGGATATTATGTTTAAGTGTCCTACAAAATTCAAACATATGATACAGATAATTTATTTACTATATTGTGTACAGTCACAGCCATATCTTATCATAGCACTTCAACTTATATAATATTAATACCTTCTTAAATTTACAATGTATCCAAGTTACTCCATTTTGTCCAAAATTATTTTACTATTAAAAAATCTTAAGATTGGATGAACACAACGAAACGATCCTCACAAATCTATTCAATATATAATAACAATACTTTACACTACAGGACTACTACAGCGTCTATCTGTATTAAGATACCTCATTGATGTTAAAGATTGCGTTGACTTCAATTCCTCTGGGGATAAAGGTTTTCCTCTAAAATCTTCCTCAATTTCTTGCAAAGTCCTATCTTTAGTTTCAGGAAGTAATAGCATTGCCACGATGAGGCAGTAGCCAACAACACCTGCGTATAAAACGTAAGCGCCGTGGATACCAACGGTTTTGAATAAAACTGGTACCGTTTTGACTGTTATGAACAAGTTTGAAGAGAGAAATAAGACGCTCAACCCTCCAGCAAGACTTCTGTATTCTAATGGGAAGAGTTCTCCAGCAATGATAAACGGTAATGGCACAGTTCCTGTTGCAATCGATAACATGTGGATATGTATCAGAGCTATTCCAATAGCCGGATGGTCAAAAGGCAACATATTCTGGCTCTTGAAGTATGTGTAGGCGGCTGTCGCCAAGAAAGCGAACAGATTTATACTAACTGTAGCCAACAGCATAGTTCGCCGTTTGACTTTCTTAATTACATAAACAGCTATGGAGTTAGAAATAATTCTTTGTATGTCCAACGTGATTACCATCAGAGAAATATTAGCACCATCACCTATGACATGAGAAAAGATATCCATCGTATACGCCGCTAGAATATTAGCTCCGGCCCATTGACCTAGAGTATATATGTGAATCATTATGAATATTGGTTTGTAAAATTCTTTCTTCCTAATTGTCACGTTTATGTATGCCAAATTACTTCTTACAGTCTTCGAAAAGGATTGCGAAACATTCGTAAGTTCTTTGGCTTCTCTTATAATTTTGCTTGAATCAATCATTTTTTCTAACTCATCATCCTCTTCATCACCTCGAAGCCACTTAAAAACTTTTCTGCATTCATCGTACCTCCCTTGATCGGCTAACCAACTCGGTGATTCAGGAGAATATATGACTATCAATAAATCAATAAACACTAAAATTGCTATGACCAAGGCCGTCTTTTGCCACGAAAAGTACGAGCCAAGGGAGTGAACAAAAAGAACGCCAGTGGCTATAGTCAAAGATATAACTGTTAGGAATGCTCCGCGGTTCTTTGGACTCGTATACTCTCCTATGAGCACAGGCCCTAGCGAAGCGCTCATACCCATCGCGAGGCCTTGAAGGAATCTTGCGACGAGGAGAATAGTGATGTTATTTGCTATTATGATAAGGAACCAGCCTACTATCATGGGCACTAAGCTTGCCAAGTTTGCAGTACGCCTTCCAAACTTAGCCATTATTGTTGGCACTATGAAGTTACCAACTACCAAAGCGAATCCCAGGATTGCAGCTGTAAAAAAGGTATTATTTAAGTTGATACATATTAAAGAGATTACTTTCAGATCCACCAAAACTCTTCAAACGATAAAGGTTACTTTTATTCATGGAATTTCCCTGAAGGTAATACTTAATAGCTTACGACTTGAGTCCATGATAATAGAACTCACTATGCTAATTGATTTTATAGTAAAATAGCATAAAAAAACTAATTCAGAGAAGAGTTTTTGGTTGAGTACCTGGGTTAAAACAGTGATTTTGTTGGTCGAATGGACATAATAGCATCGTTAACTTTCTTTATATTAATTAAAACTTAGTCTTAACAACAATACAGGTAAATTTTATTTTGTATCTTACCTATCCAAGATCCTGAGGAGTCATCTATTGGTATTATGGACCCTGGCAACCGAAGCTGGGGCAGAAGAATGGCTGCGAACCCCATGACCAAACCATGGGCTGCCATATTTAGACATACTCCTAGAGTCACGAAACACTATAAACAAAAGAGAAATTTTATATACAAATGTATGTCAGTATTCGCAAATATTTCTTTTGATAGATTTTTTAATTCAGTAGGATTTTTTCCATCATAATATTTCTAAGTTTTCTTCATATTTTGCTTTTAATTAATTAACAGCAATACACCTACCGTTTGTAAAATATGCGGACCAGATAACAAAATCTTATTTTGCTCTTAAATCATGATGTGTGTTTACGAATGGAAGAATTAATTGCTTTGGACCGATATAAATGGCAAGTAAATGGTAATGAAAATGTTTTGAATTATAAATAACCAATTACTAAGAGGTTTATTATTGGTTATACTTACATATATCTTTTACATACCCATCTACTAACCTATATCTTTATATATAAAAGAGGTCATGTTAGTTACTATATTTTTAACTCAAAAATTGCTGTCTTTGTTTGGCTAAAAATTATTTGAAAGATAGCTTAGAACATGGGAAAGAACATAGGATACTTTTCATCCATTTGAAAAGAAAAAAAATATGTTGTTCAATTCCAAAATCTTCTTATCTACTGTCTTTAAGGATAAGATTTCGCCCGTTCAGCTACATATTACTAATACTGAAATTAACGCAGACGAAGACGCAGCCAAAAACTAGTCTTTTATATTTACTGTGCATAAAAATGCTTGATCATAATCATCTGTAATTTTTATATGAAAAGATGACATTATCGTTTAGCCTTCAATTCTTTATAGTTACTTGAATCTGATAATTTTTTTTATCGTACGTATTCGATAACAAACATTCAGTCTTTTCGATATCTAATCAATAATCATGAATTTATCAAAGACCGCATAATAATAAAACAATGAAATGCAAAAACATAAAGTGTTGAATTACTGCTGTTCGATATTATTGACTTCTATAAATTACAATTAATATCTTATATAAAATGACTGGTTGTCATAAATTTTGTTGTAATATTGCAACGGTATACTGATAAAAGGAAGAGTATTTTACCTATTGGCATATATGTGATCGAGTTGAATTATTTTGCAATTAGTATACTAGTTATCTAACTAATTTGGATAATTTATACAAATACATATATTAGCGTCACGTGTGCCGTTAAAAAAAAGATGCTTTTAAATATTATTTTTTTAATACACAAAAACATTATATGAAACAACTTTCTTATATTGAAAGTACTTCTTTATTTCTATGTAAATAAATAATAAAAAAATAAACGGCTGCGTAATGAATCAAGTTGGGAAATAGATCGAGATAAAACAGTCAAAATAGAAGTTATACTACATTTAGTCATAGTACAATTTTGGAGTTGTGCCACTACATGTGCCTATTTAAGAAATCGCGAATTTTGTTTTCATAACACATAGTACTATTTAATATTAATGAAGCGTCATTCATACATAACAAATACATTTTATTGAATAGTTTTCATTTAACATCGACCTAGTTAAAAAAATTGAAAGGCAAACGAAATTTATAACCGGTTCCACAAATATTACTATTAACAAAGTAGAAATGTAAAATTTGTTACCTGTTTTTTGAACGGTGTTATCCATGATTCAGACTTTCCCATTTCCGACGAGTTTCACTCAGCTTTCTTTCAATACTAAACACAACATCTCATTGTATCGGACATCGATTTCATAATTTTCCTTATCACATGATTGGCGGAAGGCCAAGTCTTAAAAGTTTATCAGTCCGCGTTCTTTAAGCGCCGGCTAGCTACTGAACTTGGCACTACTATTCTTAAACAATTCACATATATATTATACACACTGAGAATATTAAGCTATTTCAAAACAATGTCATTCTTTTAAATCATTTCAAATGTTTAAAGCATATAATCGCCATTAACACGCCCCTAAAACTACATACATTTTCTTCTATATATAATTTACATACGATATAATATTCACAATATAATTGTCTTTAATTCTTTATAAATATTTATCCAATAATTTTATTTATTAATTTTATATATAATAGAATATATTTATGTATATTTTATAACAAACAACACTCAAGCACAAAACAATATCACACACTGGACATACATATATTCATTTTAAATAGCTATGTATTCCCCAACAATATCTTCTTACCTTGATATGGCCTCTAGTCCGGTAAAATCCACTTTTTACGCTACACTCTTTGAATCAATGGTCTATTAATTGTCACAATATTTTTATTGCTATAAATAATTATTTCATGATTTTATTCTTCCGCATTATTGTTTAAATATGAATCAGTTAGCCCTTATGTATTTGTATTCGTTTTTATTCATTTTTAACATACCCATACAGTATTATTATAACTAATTATTTAGTTAGACTATGTACGAGTATATGTATAATTGAGTTTTAAGCCATTTCATTAGTTAAACATTTTAGTCAAACTGCCTACTTATAATTAAGTGATTATAATTTTTTTGTTATCACGAGAGCAAACATGTGATTTGATAATTTTCTATTCTTTTTTTATATATTTCATTTTATCCTAATGTTGACTCGTATTACACTATATATATTTTTATACATATGTGTGTTTGTTTAAGGTTCTAAGGATTTGTAGTATAGGTAATGTCTAAAGATTACACATTTTCTATATACTTACATAAAATATATTTTATTCAAATACATTTACAGCGTATATAACGATTCTGAATAAGTTTTCTATTATAAATTCACATTTTATTGTACCTATATGTCCTTGGGTATACTGTTTTCCGTCTTCCTTATACAAGTATTTGTTTTAAAATATACCTAGCTTATTAGACCAGTGCCGATAGCTTTTAAAACATAATTATATGATACATAGTAGAATGAAACTCATTTGAAAAGGAGGGGAATATTATAAAAATTAAAGGAAAAATAATTTACGGGTAAAATATGGGTTTTCTTGATTTCCGGCAAAACTAAAAAATAGAGATTTCAACAAATAGAAAACATACCAAATTTTTTTAAAAAGCTGATATTTTGACGGGTGATTTTTCGATTGAAAATGAGGCTGATTTTTCAGTATTTATTCAAAATAAGCTGAAAAAATAAATATTTCTAATCAAATAACTTACAGTGCATTTGGAACATCAAAATTAAAGTTTTCACCAAATTTCGTGTCAAAAAATAATTTTTTGGAAGAGATAAAAATAAAAAACGAAAAACTTGGTTATTCGAATTTTTCACACCAAATTTGAGGCTATGTGAAAAATATGTTAGTACAAAAGTTTTAGATCTTTTTATTACCTACAACTTTGCCTTTTTTTTTTGTAGGACTTTTAGTTTTGCCGGAAATCGAGAAAACCCATTTTTTCTCAATACCCATCCCCATACCCTTCCCGACCTCAGATCGCCCGTAAATTCCCCTCCTTTTCTAATGAGTTTCATTCTACTATAATTTATTTTCACTTTTCATTGTTTTTAAAGGCATCTGCACTGGCCTATTACATGTATTGATCAGGATATATAATTTCGTGTTTTATAAACTTAAGTAAGACTTATACTGGAATAGTACCAACCTCTCACAAATATTCTAAGTAATTATTAAATTATTTTCTATCGCTTTAATATATTATTATCAATATATAAACGTCGTCTAAAGTGTAAGAATAATAAAATAATAGATTTAAAGCCTCCAAATGAAGTCACTGGTGGCGTAGTGGTTAAAAGGCCCGCCTATCGTGTATGAGGGCGCGGGTTCGGTCCTGGCAAGTACCAATGTGATTATTCCGAGTCATTTGTACTTTTTAAGAGTATTTAGACATCACTAACAGACGGTGAAGGAAAACATCGTGAGTAAACCTGGACTGTTAATTTCACAATTACAAGTTTGAAATCACCAACCCGTCTTGAGTCTTGATTAATGCTCAAACCTTCTTCATATGAGAAAGAGGCCTTTGCTCAGCAGTGAGCTCTGATAGGCTGATGAAGAGGGCCTTAACATATAGTTTTATTTAAACATATTCAAGACAAAATAATAATTATCATTAGAGTAAATGACAATTGCCATTAGACATATTTATCTAAGAACATTTCTCTCTTAACAAAATCCAATAATTTCCCATATTACTATACTTCAAAATATTACACATTTGAAAATACAATTTCATATGTCCGTAGCATTTGTCGTTTACCAGCAAATGCTTTATAATGAAAATAATATACATAGAAGGTCACGATTAATTGACCGTAACGAACGTATAGTATTCTAGTAAAATACAAGACATAGTACTTTCAACCTAAGAATAATAAGCTAAATAAAATACTCTATTTTATCTTCAGCTTCTGTATACAATTATATCCATGTATCTACAAAAGTATAGTCTAATAGTTAATGTTTACATATACAACAAACTTAAGGAATTTGTTGCTATATAGATAATTATAATATTCATACAATTTTTACGGCAGAACGAAAATTACTTCAAATACATTACAATAAGTGATTCCTTGAGGGCCAATTACGTACGCGCAACATATGGGAAATTAAATGAGCATCGTCGGGTCCACATCGTATGTATAAAAATACATCAGAAACATACATACATACAGAGTAACGAACAGCTGTCCTCATGAAACAGAATATTGATGATTCAGCACAAGCATGGGAACTATTGCTATCCTAACATCAGGGCAATCGTGTAGTTTTAATATGTTATCCTTATAAGTTTCGTAGTTTTCCTTGAACCTCCAACGGCTGTAAAACGCACCCCGTATAATTGGTTTCAGTTTTTGTATGGGGATAGAAATTTCATAAAATATCCTACATAAAGCAATTGGGGGATTCAAAACATAAATATATCAATATATAAAATCCAGCTTACAATACATTTTACAAACATTCTTTAATAACAATTTAGTTTTTTATGTGCGGAACAACTAACTACCCTATCGTCGTTTATATTATAGTATGTACGAGTATTTAAAACATTGACTAGTGAGTCTGCTTAATTCCGAAGTGAAAACAAACGTATTTTACTGGACTGTAATGAATAAAAATAAACTAAATTAATTTGATTAGAAATACATTGTTGATATTTGAGTAAAATGGTTTTTGAATTAAATAAAATAAGAATTTGAAAGTACTATGAAGTGTATATTGAAAAAGTTTTCCCGGGATTCCATTGAATATAATTATATTAGGATCTTCAGTAACTACGTTATCAGATTTATAAAGAAAAAATATGAAATAAGGAATACTTTTTCATAATTTCAATATGAAATACCCCGCATCCAAAATAAAATAATAACAGAATGGTTAAACGAATAAGGGTTTGTCATGTCATGTCATCAGCCTATCAGAGCCCACTGCTGAGCAAAGGCCTCTTTCTCACATGGAGAAGGTTTGAGCATTAATCACCACGCTTTCTCAAGACGGGTTGGTGATTTCAAACTTATAATTGTGAAACTATAAGTCCAGGTTTCCTCACGATGTTTTCCTTCACCGTATGTCAGTGATGTCTAAATACTCTCAGAAAGTACATATGACTCCGAAAAATCACATTGGTACTTGCCAGGTTTGAACCCGCGCCCTCGGCAACAAGAGGCGGGCCCCTTAACCACTAGGCCACCACTGACTTAATCAGGGTTTACCAATATAAAAAAAAAGAAACGTAATTTCTTCCAGTACCGCTGAAGAATCCAACTTGTTCTGTTACTTTGAAAACCCTAAGAATACAAATTTGATATCAATCATATATTACTAATTATAAATTTATTATTATTTAACTATCTAATAAATATTCCACCATAGGATATTTCATATATAGAGTGTGTTTTGTAGTGTAAAAAGGTTTGTAAATGTGGTAATCCTATAATTTTTCATAAGTGTAAATCTACCATTAGATATGTATAATACCAAGCAAGTTAAAACAGTTAATATTACTTATATACACACCGAATACAAAGTTTTCCCATTTCTCATTCATTAACATAAGTTAATATAGTATTGTGCAAAGATGAATGAATAATATTTTTTTTATCTCATGTGGCAAAGGAACAGACGATCTACTTGATGGAAGGTAGTCATCGTCATCCATGCATATCTGTAATAAAAGAGATGTTGTAGATGCGTTCCCGACCTTGATTGTGGGAGAGGGAGAGGAATAGGGAAAGGACAACCGTCTCTCTCACTCATCGGACGAAACGCAGCCATTGAAGACTACTTCACGCCGATCTTCTGTGACTTATGAGAGGGTGGTACTTCCCCGGTCGAGCCAGCACATGTTCGAGCTGTAGTAACTTGACCACAAATAAGCTCTACCACCTACAACTGTTGGACAGAAGTTAATTAAAGTTTACCATAAGTTCTGATAACATTTTTTCATTATTTTTTTCTCTATTTCTTGAAATAAAAAAATAGCAAAATAAAAATACGCACAATCGTGAAATTGCTTAATGTCTTCAAAACATTTTCATTAAAGTGATATTTGTTTTATTTTACATATCTAGAAAACGTAAGATGCTTGAAATATAAAAGAAATTTAAAGTAATTTACGTATGTTTGTTATAAAGTTAGATATTTTATTAATCTTATCTTCTTATTGAAGCAAATTGGGGCATAAAATTGTAGTAATCA